AATTAGCAGGTAGATCTAAACGCTCAAAAATTGATAAAACTGGAAGGCTATCAGCTTTAGAAAAATTAAGACAGTTGAAAGGTAGCAAGCATAAATATAAGGTTGATGAATTGGAAAATGTTTATGAAGAAGTTGATGAAAAGGAATATACTAAAACTGTGATAAAAAGACAAAATGATGATTGGATTATTGATGATGGTAATAATTTGTTGTACTTTTAATAATAATATTATAGTAGTAAATATACATAGTGCATGTAAATTTTTATTTTTATTGTAATTAAAAATAACAAAAACCATCATAAATTTATTATTTGTTATAAAAGGAGAAAGCGGTTATGTTGAAGATGGTAGAGAAATTTTTGATGATGATTTGGACGATGAAAGTATACAAGAAGCAAGAAAACATAAAATCACAGGTCCTAGAAAAAGTAGAAAAGATGATGTTAAAAAGAAAGGAAATATTCAGAACATGATAATGAATATGCCTTCTAAAAAAACAACAGTCGTTGGATTAGATGGTGACAATATTTTAGGAGATTTGATGTCTGAATTAAAAAAGGATGATACACCAAGAAAACCAGAATCAAAAACTATTAAAAACAAATTTTGTATTGCATTTCAATCAAATGAAAAGTGATTAATTCTTTTTTATTTATTTGAAATTTGTATTTTAATGTACCATTTTTACAATGAAATATAATTTTAGAAGTATTCACAAAGAAAAGAAGTTACAGTCAACTACTACATGTGAAAAAATGCAATGTGATGATGATGATTTAATAATATTTGGCAAGCCAAAGAAAGTAGAAACATATAAGCAAGTAAAACAAATTTCTCAAGTAGAAAATATTGTTTCAAATCAAAATGGCAGTCAAACAATTATAGATGACGAAATTGCTGATTGTTCAAAAACTACTGCATTGTGTGTACAAGCAAAACAAGATGTTGAAGAACAAAGCAGTAGTCAAATAATTGAAACTGAAAATGAAGATCTTAGTCAGTTTGTTGATGTAAGCTTTTTTGCGTTAATAACATTTTAAGGTTGATTCTTATAACTATATTATACTTATTTCAGTTTTGTAGTGCAGATTTTGCAAATGACAGTGTTGATCATAATGATAAATCAGTACCATTTATCACTAATGAAATACAAATAAGCAAACCAAGCATTCAAACAAAGAATAAAGATATTGAAAAGGAAAAGTTTGATTTAGAAAATTTTAATAAAGTGTTAAATGTTGAATTTGAAACACAAACATCAAATATTGAAATATCTATTGATACCACAGAATTGCCTTTACCACTTGTAGCTAAAGAAAAGGAAGAAGTATTTAGATTTTATTGGTGGGATGCATATGAAGATCCATATAAACAACCTGGAGTTGTATACATATTTGGAAAAGTTTTTGTACCTTCTATAAAAGAGTATTGTTCTTGTTGTTTAACAGTAAAGAATATTCCACGAAGAATTTATCTTCTTCCTAGATTATATGTATGTATGAATTTATTTTCAAATTTACTTTTTTTCTATAATTTAAAACGAACTAAAATAATTATAATAATGTAAATTTTAGATAAAAACGTCTTCTAATGAAAATAATGAAAAAGCGCAATTAAATACAATAGAGGATGTTTATAAAGAATTTAATCAATTTGCAAATAAATTAGGAATAAAAGAATTTCGCTGTAGTAAAGTTTCAAAGCATTATGCTTTTGAACAAGAAAACACTCCAGCAGAGTCTGAATACTTAGAAGTAAGATATTCTGCGCATTATCCACCTATGCCATCTGATTATTCTGGACCGTCGATAGAACGTGTTTTTGGAACAACAGTAAATTCTTTAGAATTACTTCTAATAGAAAGAAATATTAAAGGACCATGTTGGTTAGATATTAAGTGTCCATTACCTACTGGTGTACAAACCAGTTGGTGAATAGGTAAATTGTATGAAGATGGAGAATATATCTGTTTTTTCTGAATCTCAAACATTACCACCATTAGTAATAACAACTTTAAATATACGAACATCTTTAAATTCCAAATTACAACAGAATGAAATAGTCATGGTTGCAATACTTATACACCACAAGTATTACATCGATAAAGAACCTCCTAAACCGCCATTTCAACAACATATTTGTTGTACGTTAATTTACTAATTTTATTTTTGAAAGATGTATTTTCAATATTTCATATGCTTTTATATTATTTTATGCAGTAATCACACATCCGCGTGATAATCCGTGGCCAAGACAAGCACGAGAAATGTTTTCGAATATTTCATACACCAAAGTGATGAGATTTGAATCAGAAACGGATTTACTTGAAGAGTTGTTAAAAATAATAAATGTAACAGATTCAGATTTATTGGTTGGATATGATTGTGGCTTCCAATTTGATATATTAATGCACAGAATGATTACATTAAAAATTTCAAATTGGAGTCGACTTGGAAGACTAAAACGTTCAGTGCCTCCTCTTATAAAGGTCAGGAATATATATATATATTGTAACATCTTAATATAATTATAGTAAATAGAATGTATGAGAAAACTAAATAAAATAATGTATTTTAGGGAAAAATAAACTTGAATCAAGTAGTAGCTGGTCGACCTATTTGTGATATACAAGTTTCAGCTAAGGAATTGAATCTCAAAGTTAGAAGTTATGACTTACAATCCCTTTGCACAGCAGTAAATATTTGACAATTTTTTGTGTAAGTCTACATAAATATCCATAACTATTTACTAGAGAAAAACTATTACTTCTATAGGTATTGAAGAAAAAGGAAAATGAATGCAAAGAAATAAAGCCAGGAGAGTGCTCATCATTTTATAATGCATGTGACAAAATAGATAACTTAATTAAAATAACATTGACTGAAGCATTGTATATTTTATCTATTGTTTTTGAACTTAATATCCTTCCACTTGCTTTACAAATTACATGTATTGCTGGTAAGTATGTGTACATATTTTCAAACAACAACAATTCTTTTATTGAAGTATAATGTTTAACTTATTTATATAGGAAATGTTATGTCAAGAACATTAACAGCAGGACGTGCAGAAAGAAATGAGTATTTGTTACTACATGCATTCCACTTAAAACACTACATAACACCTGATAAACGAATCACAAAAAAAGGAAAAAATGAAGGTACGATTTTTAAATATATAAACAACTGTTTCTTTATAATGCATTTGCAAATAATATTATTTTATATGCAGAACATACTGGTAGAAAGAAAGCAGCTTATGCTGGTGGTTTAGTCCTTGAGCCAAAAAAAGGATTTTATGATAAACTTATCTTACTAATGGATTTTAATTCTTTGTATCCTAGTATAATTCAAGAATATAATTTATGTTTTACTACTGTTCCTGGTGCTGCATATGCTGATAGTGGGGTAAATTTATTAGTACTACTGATTAAGTAATCTGTTTATATTTTATTTCATTTATAAACATATATATATAGGATTTATCGATTCCTGAATCAAATTTAGAACCGGGAGTAATTCCAACAGAAATTCGTAAATTAGTTGAAAGTAGAGTAGAAGTAAAGAAATTAATGAAAACCCAAAATATTTCACCTGAACTGAAAATGCAATATAATATTAGGCAACTGGCTTTAAAACTTACAGCAAATTCTATGTATGGTTGCTTGGGTGCAATGCACTGTAGATTTTATGCTAAAGGACTTGCTGCCTTAGTTACAGGTAAAGTATAAAACGGAATATAATTTTGTTTGTAACTTTATGTATAAAATATTGAATATCTCCTCAGCAAAAGGTCGAGAAATTTTGCAGCACACAAAAAATCTTGTTGAAAAACTGAATTATGAAGTTATATATGGAGACACTGATTCTATAATGATAAATACAAATTTATTAGATTATGAAGAAGTTTTTTCTGTTGGGAAAAAGGTAATTGTTATATTAATAATATGAGTATATTTGTTTTATATCCATATAATGATAATAAAAATCACTTGTAGATTAAACAAGAGGTCAATAAATTATATAAACGAGTAGAATTAGATATTGATGGTGTTTTTCGTTATTTACTGCTTTTACAAAAGAAAAAGTATGCTGCAGTTATAATAACAAAATTGCCTAATGGACAAATAGAATTAACACAAGAACATAAAGGTCTGGACATTGTAAGACGAGATTGGTGTCAATTAGCTTGTGATGTTGGAAAGTAGGTAAAATAGATTATGTTGAAAATAAAATTTTTAATTATGCCTAATAATATTGTTTTTAGAAAAATTTTGGACCAACTTCTATCTGATCAATCCAACGAAAATCGATTAGAACAAATTTTTAATATGTTGCAAAATATCGCAAAATGTGTTCGTGAAAATCAAATTTCCTTATCATCATTGGTTATTACAAAACAATTGTCAAAAAATCCAAGTGAATATCCAGATACTAAACAAGCTCATGTACAAGTAGCTTTAAGATTAAATAAAGAAGGTGGTAGAATGTGGAAAGTTGGAGATACCGTTCCCTATATTATATGCGATGTGCGTATTTATTAATATTTAATATTCTTGTATAATTTTTACTAACATTATGGAATATATAATTACTCTTTTGTACATTAGGATGGAACTGAGAAATCTGCAACTGAAAGAGCATATCATATTGATGAATATAAAAAGAGTGATACTCTAAAAATAGATGTTAATTATTATTTAATGAGCCAAGTTTTTCCCATTGCTTTACGAATTTGTGAACCAATTGAAGGAATTGATGATGTTTTATTAGCCGGAAATTTGGGTAAAATTTTAATCGTATAATTAATTGGATGTAATTATAGGATTTTTATATAAATTCTTAAACGTGTACCGTAAATAAAATTTTCCACAATAGGTTTGGAAAATGTTTATAAGTCTAAAAGGATAATACATGAAGATAACAATGATATACCACTATTAATGAATGATGATCGATTTAGATATTGTCTTCCTTTGAAATTTAATTGTACCGATGAAAAATGTCAGTCAGAAATTATACTTAAAGATGTTGTGATCGAAACGGTAAGAAATTGTAAGAATGTCTTTTTTTTACTGTTACTTATTGATAAAAGGGACATATTATTTACAGCCCACTGGCAATCAATTATCGCTTGCTTCCTGTTCGAATGTAGACTGTAAAATACAGCCATGGATGTATGTTAATGCTATACAAAATGCAATGACACTTGCTGTACGGGAAGCAGTTACCGAATATTATAATGGCTGGTTAGAATGTGAAAATCCAATGTGTAGTGAACAAACCCAGCTACTCCCACTAGATTTTAGCAACAGATATCCAACTTGTAGGACATGTGGAGATGGTGATTTACATAGAATAGTAAGTTAAAAAGTTTATTATTGTGATCAAATATTTAAAGTATATAAAAGACTAAAATATTACTTAAGTTTTCAGAAACAAAACTTTATAATCAAATGTATTTTTATCTTCACCTTTTTGATGTGATTCAGTCAAAATATAAAAGCAAGTATTTAAGTTTTCTTTTTTTTAAATAAAAGACCAAAAAAAGAACAAAGGACTGACTATAAATAAATATATTTTTAGATTTGTTATCTAAATATCCACAAGGTATAAGAGAAGCATATGATTCATTAAAAGAAGCAATGGAAAAAATGTTAAGACGAAACGCATTTTCCGTTGTATGTTTGGATGCACTCTTTTCAAACATTAATTCACAGTATGAAATATTAAGTTTAAATACAAGTAGTTTAGACATATCAGATGGATCAGATGATGAATTGGTGAGTACCATACATTATGAAAACATTATTATTATTATGAAATGTAAATATACGAGTACAAAATAATAAATATTCAATAACAATTAAAAAATTAATTTTAATTTTTGTTTTTAAAATTCAG